TAATTAAAAATAGTATGCAAATAAAACCCATATTTTATGCAAAAATCTAAAATCTAAATCCATTAATAGCAAAGGTGTGAGTGCAGCAGTGAACGGGTTAAACGCACAGCACAGCCAATGCAATATTCTGCACTATTCCAGTGCCATTCTGGGAGTTTATCGGAACAATTTCACTGCGCAACATGTTTAAACTGTAATATAAGCCATTTAAACGCTCGTTTCTGTTTTTGCGAATAAATGATCTACATTTTTGGAGATCCGTCAGGGTTTTTCATGATCAGATTCAGGATAGAATACAGGCTTGCATGCAACAATAAAGATAAATGGAATTTGAATTCGTTTCATATCCTTGGACTTCCTTTACGCTGATCTGGAGAATATAATCGCTTTTGGGTTTTTACAGTCACTTTGCATTTTAGTCGCTGCCTTTTCACCTGTTTTGGAGAGCGCGTAAAAACAACACCCTCTTGAATATTTTGTCCATAAACGCTTTTGAGATGAGCAACGAGTGTTTCGAGCCGCGTTGGACATGTGCACTGCTGGCGATCCCTCAGAAGCCCGTTGGAGAGGAGCGCAACTTTGCTGCGTCTAGGAGATTCACCGGTGATCCATCATCTATCCAGCGCTGTGCAGGAACCAGCGGGCGCGCAGGTGGACTCGGATCCCGTCGTTTGACCGAGGCTTGTTTGGAGTGATGCCGGGCTCTTTGATCTGGGGTGCGCTGGGCAGGTTGGTGTGGCTCTCCTTACTTGCGCCAAGCGCTCTGATAATGATCCTTGTTCCCCCAGCATCTCTGGCGCATCCACAGCCATGTCAGATTCTGAAGAGGATCGGACACACGGTGAGAGTCGGAGCTCTGCACCTGCAGCCTCGAGTGTTCAGACAGGATTCCCTCAGGGGGAGAGATCCGGACTGGGATGCAGACAGAGAAACGTGGGGAGAGTGGGACGCGATCACCCAAAGTAGGCTCGAACAAGGCTGGAGGGGTATTAGGACTAATAGCTCAGCGAATAACCCCCACAAGGCCTCCAAAAGTAAAACCGCACTCAAACAAGTGGGTCCGGATGCTGTGTTTCTACCTCGAGACTCTGTTCTACTCGCTACAGAGAGCCTCAATCGAGTGGCGGGGCTTTTACCCTACAACCTCAGCCTTGAGATAGTCATGGCCGTGGAAGCAGGACTTGGAGAATTACCTGCTTTCTCCTTTTCCTCCTCATCTACACCTGCCTGTGGCGATCCCGCAACACTCAGTGATTCAAAGCTTTGGTGCAACCTGCTGCTTCACAAATAAATGTGTTTTCCCTTGTGATCACTTCATATGTGTCAGCATGTCAGATAGAAAAAAAGATGTGTTTGTCACATACATGATATTACAACTATTGGCATATTTTAAATTAAGAATGAGCTGAGCATATGGAATGATTTTAAACTGAATATCAACACCCAAAATTGAATTGTCACCATCATGAGACAAAATCATTTTAACAAAAATAATTATATAACTAAATAACATAGCTGTAAAATGTTTGTCTTTTTTAAAATTAACATGAAAATACCATATACAAATAGACACATAAATACATTTAATATTTCTGCATTGCATAAGTTCGTTATGTTATGACTTGGTTATTATAACGTTATAGGATTATATTTTTTAAATTGCAGGCTGGTGGCATTAGGGGGGAGGGAGTCATAGTGAAGTATCATTTTTATAAACCAATAAGTAAATTACATTTGTCAAAACTAATGACAGGATGAAGTTGTTGAACATGTTTTATCCCACATTCTTAAAAATATAGGTTCTTTATTGGCATCTATTCCAAAATGAACCGTAAACTGTGTTCCATTTGTGTTTATTTTCATAAAAAATATTATATTAATGTTTACATTTATAGCACTGAGGCAGTTCTGGTCTGCAGCTGCATACTGTATAGTTTCTGGAGAGCTCAGTTTCTTTCATTTAGAAATGTAAATGTTGAGGGACTGCGCAGTACACAAGTACAATTAGAGGACACATGTTTGGAACTGAGGAATTGGATTGGAATTATGAATGAATGATCAACAAGTAGTTATTAAGTTTTTTTGGATTATAAACAATACACTACAGACAGAGAATGAATGCATGACGGCACTCAGTGATTCAAAGCTTTGATGCAACCTGCTGCTTCTCTAATAAATGTGTGTTTTCCCTTGGTTCTTTATAGTGGAAGAAGGTTCTTCGGATTATTATTATTATTAAATAAAAAGGTTCTTTTAAGAACTGACCCATGTTCTTTGAGGAACCAAAAATGGTTTATTTTATGACATCACTGCAGAAACCTCCTTTTGGTAGCTTTATTTTTAAAAGTACCCGTCTCGTATTTAGTGCATAAATCAGTGCTGCTATTTATTAGTACAACTGTTTTCTTTAAACTAATAAGTTTGTTATGACACCTGCTGGATCAGTCTAAACCACAAATAAAACATCTGTTTAGATGGTGACACATCTAGCTGTTTGCATTCAAAATTTGTTTTTCTGAACACCCTGAGGGCTGAGCTGTTTGATATCTGATCTTTTGAAGTTAGCACCATCTTCTGGTCAGTTCTTTGTTTACATGGATCATCTAAGATTTCTCAGATTTCTCTGTGAGCTCAGAATCAGTGTCTGTTATCTGTCCAAATAGCAATCAGTCTCTCAGTGTGCTCATTACTGAGCTTTACTGATTTCTGATTTATTGATTTCTTTACTGCTTTCTTTCTTAATGAATGAATGAATGTCTGTTTATTAAAACATCAGCAGCAAAACAGCCCAAAGGGAAAATCATTTATTTATTTATGTATTTATTTATTTATTTATCTACTTGTTTATTTAATTATTCGTGTATTTATTTATTTATTCATGTATTTATGTATTTATTTATTTATTTATCTATCTATTTGTTTATTTAATTGTTCATGTATTTATTTATTTATTTATTCATGTTTTTATTCATTCATGTATTTATTTATTGATTCATGTATTTATTTATTTATTTATTTGTTTATTCATGTATTTATTTATTTATTCATGTATTTACTTGTTTATTTATTTATTTATTTTCAGTTCAAGTACAGTGGAACTGTTCATTTCGGAGTTAATAGTTTAATGAATTGTTGACTACATTGTTAATAACATGGAATACAGGACACTATAATTGATCACCAAGGCACCATATAAACACAATACATATTTACTCTATATAGTATATTTACTGTCTCTTAGTAAACATTAAAAACTTTATTTCTGCATCCAAATTTTTCTTTCTTTCTTTCTTTTTTAAGTTATTAATGTTTTGGTTTTATTTGTGCCCATCTGGTCAAATTTTGCTGATTTTTAAAAATAGAATTATGTTATGAAGGTAACAGTAATAGTTTCCACTGTAACACAGGCGACAATTAGATGTCTATATTATTAAGGATCATTATAACAACTATATTATTCCACAACGTTGGTGGTTTCATCATTTATCATTCTCAATCCCTTTTGGGATATTTCAAGGTTAGGAGAAGACAAACCAAAGGTCCATCAAGCTACTCTCCACAGGCCTGAAGAACTGTGGTGTATCAAATTACCCATCTTTATCCATTCATCTTCAAAGCTGCTGAAAATGCACATAATTGTATCACCCTCTAGTGCTTTTTTATGACACAGCAGTTATATCTTACGGAGCCCCGCGCATGGCATGCAGGAAAAAAATAGTAGGCTAAATAGTGCGCACGATTTACTAATTTGTTCCCTCGATTTGCATGTTTTAGTACATCGAGGGAAGGAATTAGTAAATCGTGCGCATGATTTATTTATTTTTTTCTTGCATGTCATGTGCGGGGCTCCGTAATATCTGGCTGTATCCCAGCTTGCAAATCATTTAATGACACAAGCTCCCTCAAGATAAAACATACTCCGGATGAAAACCTCTATGTGTCTCTTCTTAACTTGTTAGTGGTACTTATTACTCTCCCACTGGTTTGGCCAATTAGTTTTCATGACAACTCTACAGAAAATAAGTCAGACTTTGTTTAGACATCTTGAAATAAATCCCTGTAAAGCTTTTCCTTAATCAATTCTGATTAGCCTGTGTTCTGCCATCGCATAACTGCAGCCCCAGGGGAAATTAAATGGTTCAGATAAACATTTCATCTGGCAGTGTCTGTTAAGGTCTTGATTTCCTTAGCAGGACAATGTCATTTAATTCATGGGTATTATATCATTAAAACATTGAGATCCCAGACCTCACGCAATTAATGTTTCTGGATGTCCTAAGTGGGCAACGTTTCCATATCTGAAATACTCTACATCTATATTTTGATGGGAATGCCTGAGACTCAATAGAGTTAATCAGCACTTTTGACTCCTGCTCAGGGTTTCCAGGTCTTTAAAACCAGCCCAGTTGTGTTCAGGGGGGAAACGGCTATCAAAAATTCTCCAAAATCGTGTTCCAGGCAGAGTTTCACATGGACTAAAAAAAAAATCAAGCAGTGGCAACAGTATAAAAATAGCCAAATTCTGCAGGAAAACCGCAGACTTGGCAACACTGCTCCTGGTCTTTATGCTCCAAGAGCTTGTAACACTCCAAAGAGAAAGGAAAAATTTAAATCACATCATATGACCCCTTTAATGCCCATCATCAAGTAACAGGTAAATCAAACAATTGAATTAGTATTTTGGTCCATTGACCTATATTTCCTAAAATTTCAACAACAACAAAAATAAGCAGATAATTGTGGTTAATTGTATGCATTTTGTTTTTGGACAGAGTAACATGATGTAGTCAAATATAAGTAATAAATGCTAGTTCAAAGCATTTGAAGATGCCAATTAAACAGATAAACAAAAATTGGCCTGATTTGACCATTTTCAGAGGATTCATCAACTTTCAAATGTTTTAAACTAGTTTGAAATGCTGCCCCTCTAGGTGCATCACAAATGGAACCAGAGAGTGCTTAAAGTAATTGTTTTCAGAAGCAAAGAATTGCACACTTGGACATCATGTTGGAAATCTTAATGTTTGTTTGTTTGTTTGTTTTTTCTCGGAGGAGATTCTGCTTCAGAAATTCAATCTGCAAACAGAAGGAGACTGTCCAACAAATCATGCATTACGATAAATATCTGTAGGGCTTAAAACTCTCGCCTTCCCTCTATTTGGCAGACAGGAAGAGATGTGTAAAATCAACTAGATGGAGAATTGCCTGAAAGAGTAGTTGACCAATCTGTCTTAAAGAAGCACTGTATAATTAGGCTGGTTTTAGACATACCTGAGCCCAAGCTCATGTTTCTGTCGTGTTTTTTTTTTCTTTTCTTTTTTTTTCAAAAACAGCTAGAATATAACTAGTTCTTGAGATGTGTTTTTAAAAGTTTTAACTTGACATACAGTCTTAAAAATACTAAATGGCCTAAAAAGGCCATCTGCGTGTATTAAAAGATGCATTCACAGCATATTGTAATAACCGTAATTATTAAAGATGACAATCTGAACGTTTTACTCTGATGAGTTCACATCCTCGGAATCCGAATTATTACTGACAAAATGAATGTGTGTAATTTGAGTTACAATAATAGTCATTGTGCAAATAGCTGATTAATAAACTTTTATTTAGTTGGACATTAGACATTAGTTATCCAGCTTACGAGTTGTAATTACAAGTCCTAAGGACGTAAATGCTTTTTGCAAGTTATAATATAAGGATGTTTATAATGCTTATTGCAATTCAGCCATAAATCATGATTTGATTCTTGCTTGTCAGTGACAGATGTTATAAAAAAAAAATCTAAATGAACTAGTTAAAATTACCAGTCAAATAGTTGGATGTTGGATGGTTGATCAAACAAGATGCATAGTAATGTACATCCATCTCTTTGCTATGATAACCACATTTGTTTCTTCTCAACAGAACTCTCTTCATTTCCAGATGGCCATGCAAAATCCTCAAACCTCCCAATCAGATCTCATCTTCTCCCTGCTGTCCATGAACAACTGGTATGATGTCAGTCTGGTGATGTGTCAACAGATGAACATTTCAGACTTTGTTTTCTTGCTCCATAACAACTCCAAATTTCATCTGGGGACAGTTCTCAAGCTATCCACCAACAACAGCTCCAAAAGTGACTTTCAAATGTCCCTGCAAGTTCAACTGGAGTCCATCAAGGACTCAACATCTACCATAGTGACCTTTGGATGTGACATCAGGGATATAAGGAGAATCTTTACTACCATTGCAAAGTTTGGTCTGATTCTTCCCGATTACCACTGGATTATAGGAGACTCTCAGAATGTGGAGAAATTACGGACAGAGGGGCTACCCATGGGCCTTCTTGCACATGGTCGCATGGGTGAGCCCTCACTGAATCATTATGTCCAGGATGCTTTGGAGCTGGTGGCACGAGCGGTGGGATCGGCTGTCATTGTATCTCCAGAGCTGGCGCTGATTCCTGGCATCACAAACTGTCTGGCAAGACTTGAGACTAAAAATCTCACATCAGGAACCTTTCTGTCCAGGTATTTTATTTGACACACTGCTTGATATTTCATAATATTTGTGTTGTTTATGTGGCATCACATGCATTTTTTTTTTTAAAAGTTGTCATTCACCGCCAGCATTTTATCAACACTTCAGTGTGGGCGGCTTTCATTAAAAAAAGCACAATTTTGAGCAAAAAGCTGAGAAAATTGCGTTTTTGTCAAAGACTATGTCCGAATCAGATTCAGAACGATGATCAAAACATAGATGGAGTAGATCATTCTCATCAACACCCCCAAATCTTGCACGGGCCTAAACCACTTCCTAGATCGACATTTCATTCGGTAACGTTAGGCAGTTTTGATTTGTATGCTGTTTAATGCTTGATGCTCTTGCTATTTTAAATATGCATCTGCTTACATATGCGATTGCTTGTTTCTGCTTCTTCTTCACCATATTTTGATCCAGAGATTCAGTACTCTTTAAAGGGGTCATATGATGCGATTTCAATTTGCTATTGACTGTTCAAATGCGGAGTTTTGCACATGGTGTGTGTGTGTGTGTGTGAGAGAGAGAGAGCGAGAGAGCGAGAGAGAGAGCGCGAGCGAGCGAGCGAGAGAGAGAGCGCGAGCGAGCAAGAGAGAGAGAGAGCGCGAGAGAGAGAGCGAGAGAGCGCGCGAGAGCTGTTACACCAAATACACAAAATAATGATCTTTAAAAAAGCATCATATGACCCCTTTAAGAAAATGTGTAATAGCGCCTCCTACTAGGGGTGTGCACAAATAGTCAAATATATTTGAATATTCGATCTGTAATTATTATTCGAAAAATAAAAAAATCACAGAATGTCGTCGTCCGCCTCACGAAGTTTGGAATTACTTTGATCAAAACGATCTTACTAAATGAGCTTATAAAATTAAATACATTTTGATCAAATAAATCAGTGAAACTGAGTATATATTTTGTTTACATGTTTTAGCTAAAAGGAAACATTGAGATATAACGTTACGTTGTTGTAGAACATTGTTGTGTCTAATGCCTAATCATAAACTTGTTCAGAAATGGTGACAAAAGCTTGACTATTAAAAAATAACGTATTTATCATTAAACGTTTTTTTTTTCATGAGCCCAAATATTCAAATACTATATTTTTTGAAAAATGCCCATCCCTACCTCCTACCGTATACCAGTGAAAATTCCGTCAATGGTCAGGAAAGTATGAAAGATATCATCAAAATAGTCCATCTGCCATCAGAGGTTCAATCTGAATTTTCTCATAAATCAGTTATGATGTTCTTTGGTAATGTAAATGTTATTTGCTCATTTTATGTAGCTGCTTTTTGAATAACGGAGTAAACGTAAGCTTTATGATTAGTAACTTACAATTTTTCTATTAAATTGTTATCATGTTAAATACAAATTCAGTCATATTAAAGGGATACTCCACCGCAAAATGAAAATTTTGTCATTAATCACTTACCCCCATGTCGTTCCAAACTCGTAAAAGCTTCAATTTAAGATATGTTGGTTGAAAACTGGGAGCCTTGTGACTGTCCCATTGACTGTCTAGTAACTTACACTGTCAAGGTCCAGAAAAGTATGAAAGACATCGTCAGAATAGTCCATCTGCCATCAGTGGCTCAACGTAACGTTATGAAGCGACGAGAATACTTTTTGTAAGCGAAGAAAACAAAAATAACGACTTTATTAAACAATTCGTCTCCTCTCACCGTAGCGCCATTTTGGAGAATATCCGCTGAAGGCAAGCAGCGTACGCTCTTTCTGTGTCAGCCGCGCCACATGGATGCACAGTTTTCGTTCAAATCAAGACATAAATACACGTAGAAAACGTATCCTTGTGTCGCGGCTGACACAGAAGAGCGTACGCTGTTTGCGTTCAGCGGATATTCTCCGATGTCTTTCATACTTTTCTGGACCTTGACAGTGTTATTTACTTAGCAGTCAATGGGACCGTCACAAGCCTCCCGGTTTTCATCCAAAATTTCTTAAATTGTGTTCCGAAGACGAACGAAGCTTTTATGGGTTTGCAACGACACGGGGGTAAGTGATTAATGACAACAATTTAATTTTGGGGTGGAGTATCCCTTTAAGAACAATTATTTATTGTGCATATTTATTCTGCATATTTTATGAGGAGTATCCTTTTCATCCACAGTCAAGAGGAGCTTTTTCTGAATATGTCAACAGAATTTAGCAAAAAGTTGTTTGAAAACATTCCCACAGCAAACAAGAAAAGGCTGCAATCAGTACTGTGAAAAGCAGTAAGACATGACATTAGGCTGGTGGCAGACGCCCAGAGACACGGCATATCAAGAGTGGTTTCTCCAGCACTGCACTGTCAGGAAACAACTTCACCAAGTTCCAACCAAACTACCTCAGGGTTTAAATTTCACATGCTCTCCTATCATTACTGATTTAAAATGGTTACCGTTAGCTTCACCACTGCAGAAAAAAATTAAAAAAATGAAATTAAAGAAAGAAAAATACAAGACTAATAGACTAAAAGTAATATTCCGCCTAGGCCATCAAACTGACATCATCAGAGAAGGAATGCCATTCCAGAGCAGAAAGATTAGTAAGACAAACAATTTTTTTTCTTTAGTGGATTAACTAATAATCCACTAAAGCGCAAAGTGCAAATTAATTGTTCACCTCAAGACTAGCAATGTGCGCTAACAGAGTAGTGTCAATTTTGATTTCATGCGGACTTTAAAGACAAAATGACAAGGCAATCACACGCACATTTAACTTCTGTACTGCTACATATTTTCAAATAAAATGGAAAAAAAGGAAAAACCATTAGTGTTAGGTAAGCTACTATGAGTTTTTAGATTTCCAAGCTAATAATAATTTGAGGTTCGTTAATCTCCAGATGAATGCTAGTAGTAAAAGTGACATCATCTAACTAAACTGCAGACATTTAAGGTGCAGTTTATTTTAAGTATCTCATACGATATAGCCTAGATTATCTTTTGCAATTATAATAGTATTTATTTAAACAAAAATGTGACAAGAAACAGCACATGTTGCTGGAAAAAGTTGCCTTTAGAAAAGCTCCAGCAACTACGGCCATGCTACTGCTAATGTGGCATGAAAGTCAGTAGCACCATTTTAGTTGGCTATTGTGGTAGATACTGTTTAAATACATACAAATACATATAAATAAAACAAGAGTTTTGTTTCAGAATAATGTGCACTGATGAATCATGCACAATAAAGGTCAATTCACGCCAAGAACAGTAACTAATGATAACTATATGTCCAAACCAACAAAAAATATTATCTGTTATTACAAGTGTGCATCAAGCTCTTTAATGTCAGGTGGATTCTGATTGGCTGTAAATGTTTATCTGCTGGGGGGGGGATGTCCTGAAACTGGATGGTACCATTCATCTGTGTTGATACTTCTCTATTGTGAAAAGAATTTGAACGATTATTCAAATTTTATATTTATCGTCCTTGGTGGGAACGGACCTTTAGATCAGAGAAATATTGTTATAAAAGTAAACCAGGTTCATTTTGGTTTGACATTTCATTTGTCAGAATTAGAATGGATGAACTTCTATGGTTTGGACTGATATATGATTTTCTCTTAATTCTTAGATACATGGCCAACATGTCTTTTGACGGCCTGAGCGGCTACGTCAATATTCAAGAGGAATCTATCATCGTCTCTGAAAGCCATCACTTCATCTGGAATCTCCAGCATGACCCAGTAGGCAAGCCCATGTGGACGCGTCTCGGCAGCTGGAAGCAAGGCAAAGTGGTTATGGATTACGGTGTCTGGCCTAATAAGAGACAGTCTCAGCCAGGAGCGGACTGGCAGCATTCCTCACGTCTACACTTGCGCGCCGTCACCCTGGTAGAACATCCGTTTGTCTTCACCCGAGACGTTGATGAAGAAGGCCTGTGCCCGGCTGGCCAGCTGTGCCTTGACCCCCTAACAAATGACACAGCCTTTTTGGAAAGTCTTTTTCAGAGTCTGCAAGGTGCCAACGACAGCGTCCCCATGGAGTTTAAAAAATGTTGCTATGGATATTGCATTGATCTTTTAGAGAAGCTAGCAGAGGACATGGGGTTTCACTTCAACCTCTACATTGTGGGAGACGGGAAATATGGAGCTTACAAGAACGGTCGCTGGACAGGGCTGGTCGGGGACCTCATGAGCGGGGCGGCACATCTGGCTGTCACTTCCTTTAGCATCAACTCAGCACGCAGTCAGGTCATTGACTTCACCAGCCCATTTTTCTCCACCAGTCTGGGAATCCTCGTCAGGACTAGGGATACGGCCGCACCTATCGGCGCCTTCATGTGGCCCCTGCACTGGAGTATGTGGCTGGGAATATTCGTGTCTTTACACGTGACGGCCGTGTTCTTGACCTTGTATGAGTGGAAAAGTCCTTTCGGCATGACTCCGAGGGGAAGGAACAGGGAACGTGTATTTTCTTTCTCCTCTGCACTAAACGTTTGCTACGCAATTCTATTCGGCAGGACTGCCGCCATTAAGCCACCAAAGTGTTGGACCGGCAGATTCCTCATGAACCTCTGGGCCATATTCTGTTTGTTCTGCCTTTCAACGTACACTGCTAATCTCGCCGCTGTAATGGTTGGTGAGAAAACCTACGAGCAACTCTCAGGTATACATGATCCCAAGGTAAGAGTAACTTGTGTTTATCATTTTCAAATTATGTCAAAATGACTGGCAGGCTTAGAGGTTAAAAATACACTTCCTGGTTGATGAAAATGGTCCTCTTGCTTTTTCAAGCTCCACCATCCATCACAAGGTTTCCGCTTTGGAACTGTTCGGGAGAGCAGCGCTGAGGACTACGTGAAAAAAAGCTTCCCAGAGATGCATGAATACATGAGACGATATAATGTCCCTGCAACCCCTGATGGGATAGATCATCTTAAGTAAGTCGTAATCGTTATTGCAAAGTGGCATCGATCACTGAAGCAGCACTAATTTACTGGATGCCCTCTACCATGTCCTTCTTTGATGGCTTTTGCCTTCTTGCAGTGTCATACAAATCCATGTGGTTCCACTGTACAAGACTAGGAATTAATTGACTTGTTTGACTAATGTTTGGACTGTGTTGAAAAGACACTTTCTTACTCATTGCATGATCTGGCTGGCTGCAAAGCACACATTTTACATGCAAAACACTTATTGCTACTCACTGCATGATCTGACTCACATGCATTGCTGGAATGGTCTGAACAATACATGCAAAACATATATTCATACATATTGAATGATCTGACTCAATGTGAAGTATTTTAAATATCAAGCAATCCATATGGCAAAAATATTTTCATATACAGTATATTTTTAAAAACATTTTAAAATCTTGGATGTTTAAAAATAGTCACATACATATAATTTTAATAAGTTTTACTTATATTTGCTCTTTTATTTTCAATCTAAATATATTTGTTGTCCAAAATATATTAAATACATTTAGCATTTTCTAAATATACTTTGTTATTATATATTTAATTTTGTAATATATGTATAATGTTTAAATTAAATATATTAAGGCTATATTTGAAAAAGACATTTCTTTAAGCTGTATTATTTCTATGTTTCTTGTTATTGTGTTTTTGTTTATTTCTCAGAAGTTAGGGACCAAAAGAAAAAAACATAGAACTTACTTAATTGTAGAAATGACATAAAAACAAATAAACTAAGTGCCAAAAGTTTCCAGATGTCACTTGAGTGTTCGACAGGCCACACTTAACTAAATTTAGAAGAGGTTTTCCTCCTTTCATATCCTCTGTTGCAAGTCTGAAACTCCTCTTTTGAGTTTCCACAACCTTCGGGACATGATTTGATGCAGTCCTCAAATCAGACCACATACTCCAAAATATTGGCACAGTGTATAATTCCTTCAAGCAGGGCAGAATGAACAGATTGCAGGAGAAGTAGATGAAATTTGCAATATTTTCCTAAGAAGGTTAGCCAGGTCTCTCCTTTTAAATCAATCTAGCATGTGTTTTTGCAAGATAACATACTTTTTGAATTGCATAGGATAAACAAGGATGTTACTGCTAGTAGTAAATTGTGCTTATGGACTTTCCGTGTTCCCTTCTATGAGTGTGTATTTATTTGGTTCTAGTGGTTCTACTGATTCAACATCAATACCAATTTTAAAAGTTCTTATCGTGACTACATTGTATCGCCATAGTCAAAATGTCTGAATGTATCAAATGCATGTGTCATTATATAATAGCAAACTGCTTGATGCTATTCCAGGGATGATCCCCAAAAGCTGGATGCTTTTATAATGGACAAAGCTCTTTTAGACTATGAAGTGTCTATTGATGCAGACTGCAAGACGCTGACAGTGGGAAAGCCTTTTGCGATTGAAGGCCAGTAAATGAATGCTTCTCACTTGTTATTGTTTCTACAGTAAGTTATGGAGTGAATGAACTACTGTGCACATGCTGATGAAATATACATTTCCGATCTGTCCACAGGCTATGGCATTGGGCTCAAACAAAACTCTCCTCTGACTTCAAATATCTCTGAGTTGGTCAGTCAGTACAAATCTGATGGGTTTATGGACATGCTGCATGATAAGTGGTATAAGGTTGTACCCTGTGGTAAAAGAAGCTTTGCAGTCACAGAAGTGAGTCTGATCTATCTATCTATCTATCTATATTTATTTTTCTTTCTTTCTTTTTGTTTCAAAAAAGAAAAAGCGTACTGACCCAACATGTACACTGAACAAAATTATGGGGGCAAAAACAAAAGTGTTGCGTTTATAATTTTGTTCAGTGTATATATAGAGTATTATATTGTAATATATTACATGTAAGATTAGATACAGCTACTTTTTTTTACATCCAAATACAACATTATATTCTAATGAAAACTACTTTATAAATTACTCTATCATTTTGCTTCTGTTTTCAAATCTCGCTTTCGTCATCGTTTACTAACCCTCATGTCATTCTAATCATGTAATATTTTCTTTCTTTATTCAAAAATGTATTGTTTGATTGTTCAATTCAGTAATGATAACTATGATTTGTTCCTCATAGAAGACTTGGAATAGAGTGCACAAATCATTCAACCTATTTTGTGATTAAATGGTGTTAAACTTTGTTTGCTATTAAAAATGTCTACTTATGTAGACATCCCATTTTGTTTCTTACAGAATAATCAGAACAATATGGGGTATAATTTCATTTATGGCTGAACTATTGCTCTTTTCTAACCTTGACTTTCTGTTGTCATCCTCAGACGTTACAGATGGGGATAAAGCACTTCTCAGGGTTATTTGTCATGCTGTGTGTTGGAGTGGCCCTGTCTCTCCTCACCACACTGGGTGAACACATCGTCCATCGCTGGCTGATACCCAGAATGCAGCAGTCATCACAGCATAAGTACTGGCTCCACACCAGTCAAGTAAGTTCATCTGCACAATTCCACGCTGGTTTTATTACAAATAATTGCATGCCATCTTGGTGACATGTTGTAGCATTAAAGGAATGCTTTGCTCATTACACACTTTGTAATTCTCAACGCTAGTTTTCTTAAATAGCATTTAATTTAATTGGTTTTTCAGCGATTACATCGTGCACTTAACCCGACTTTCAAAGAAGACAAATTACAGACAGTTGCAAAACCGGAGAAAAGGTAAACTGCTTTCATAACGACTGAGCTTTTAAATAATGTCTAGCATTCAAGCAACATTGAATTGAAGTGCTAAAGTGTCATTCTCAGGAAACTTTGCTATTTCAGTGCATTATAAAAAAATATATATATATGTAAATGGATTGATCTTTCTGACATCATATGAATCAAACAGAATAAAGTTTCTCTTAAAAGCTTCACCAGTATTTCATTATGTTTACACTTACAATAATAACATCGAGTTGTTTAATATGCTTTACTTATAACTATATATGTATATTTAAAAAAAAATAAAAATACTGAGCACTTCTGATAGATTATTGGTAATTAAAGACATCTTTAAAGCAATATTTGACTTTAAAGTCATTCCAAACGATCAGTGTTATTTATAAACTATTATAGTATTTATTGTTATTTTTGTATAAGCTTTTATATTCAATTTTAGTTTTAGGAATTAATTTATGTGCTTTTGCCATTTTTATTAGATTTTTTTTCCATTTAGTATTATTTTTATTTCAGTTTTAGTCATTTAGAACTTTAAATAAATTAGTAAATTAGAACTTCAATTAAGTATTTCATCAAATATTCATATTTTATTTTATTTCAGCTTTATTTCCATTACTGAATAAGATTTTTAGTAATTTAGTAAATCAGTCATTTAATTTTAGTTATCAACACTGCAACCAGTATGAGATTATTTTTTGAATGAAACACACAGAGATATTCTGAACATTGCACGTTGCTATTTTTTTATTTAATGTCATGAACTGGAGATTTCAAGCTTCAAAAATGACATAAAGCACCATAAGTTTGTAACAGTTTTACAGCATTACAAGCCCTTTGAAATCATTATTTGTTGTCATTTTGTCAGACCAGTTTTGTGAAACAGATCAGGCAGTTCACTGCATCTCTCATGAACATTTTCAGAGATCTGTTATTCACCCAAAACTATTATATGGCTTCAGAACACTTGGTATAACACACAAGTAAAAATAGATCAGTTTTGTTGCATATGCATGGAAAAGACCAGTCAAGATTTCACTTTTTGTATTGTACAGAAGAATGACATGTGGAATGACAAAGTTGTAAACGATGATTTTCATTACTGGAACAACTATAACTTTACAAGGCATCCTTCCCAAAATTCTATTTATATACTGATATTGTGATATCATTCTTGTCCCGATTAAGCTGCAATGTTGGAAACAACCAGCAAATGCCGTGGAACTCTTTGGGAACCTCCAACTGCAACAGACGAAAACTGTCCAATCAAGAGGGACAACAAAATGACCTGGAATGTTCTCACTGTAAAGAGCTCCTGTCCCCAAAGGACAAGAGACAGCTTCCGTTACAGGCCACATCGAACGGAAGAACCGACTTGCTTGGCCTTAACCCCACAGTACAGGAACTGACGGACCTGGAAACACAAATCCAGCTTATCAAAAATCAATTACAGCTTGCCATGAAGAAGAAAAAAGAGCTGGAACAGTATCAGAAGACAAAGACTTCAACCGAGTCCTAGACTCGTGGGAGATTTGGCTGGAGTTTTATGGGTTATATTGTTCAAAAGCTTGGACCTAGAGGTTGATTATTTCAGTTGCGGCTCCTAAGGGAAGCAAGACTTTCTCTGCACATTCTCTGAAGTCCTTTTTTAGTCTTTTTTTTTTATTCCTCATTGAACTGAACTTGAAAAAAAGGACAGAAGAGAAGAAATTAATTCAAATATAAAAAACTGGATATAAGCAGTATGTATTTCTGTATTCCCAGAAGTTAAATTCTGAGGATACCTTGTTTTTATGCGGCGATGTGGAAAAAGACAGTACGTAACTGCCTAAAGGGAAGACATTTATGTTTCAAAATGATATTTATTTAAGGTGTCAAACTGTGATGTATGATAGCATCTCCTGCATATTGATACACAAGAGCTGAGAAAAATTTTAAGAAAGCCACGCCGTCGTCTCTTGAGATGTAACGAGAAGGTGTTAACCTTGAATTATGTTTCTATGAATTAAAATGGCTTTGAGATATATTTCTGTGAGATTAAGTTCTTTCAGATCTTCTCAAACTAGTTTCAAGTGTCCATTTGCAATATAATGATCTGTAAGAGTTTTGACTAAAAGATAAGATCTGGTGAGATGATGATGAAACAAATAGCTCTGGTTTACAATTCTGACTCCAAATAACATTTACAGTTCCTTCATTTTTTTAAGTAATATTTATAAACAAACAAAAAAAACTGTGTTGAATATGTTAATTTTAAAGGAGTCTTGAAATGCAGTTTCAGATTTTATATGGTTTCTTGGGGTTAGTTCATAAAGTATGCAAAGTTTCTTTTTTTTTTTTTCAAAAAAAGTACAATATTTGTAAAAAAAACAATTTTTTTTTTTCTTATTTCTTATTTACATGTAATTCAGGCATTTTTTTTTTTCGGCCAAACCTCTTTCTCTTAATATACTTGAAGTACCCCATAAGATTGTAAAGTAATATGTTAGTAATTATGTAACATGTTCATGATTCGCTGACGTTCATCATTTTTAGTAATGGATTTATTTTGATTGTTGTTAAGTTAAAATTATTTATTTTAATTTGACATTTTTATGATTTAATTCATTGTTAGTTTTTCATTACACTTACGAATCTCCTGTTCCTTCACAAACCCATGTTTGAGAAAACTTGACATAATGTAATGTTTAATGCGCTGTTTAATGCATATTTAATAACGAATGCAATATATTTTCTTTTCTTTTTGTATTTTTATATCAATATGGTACAGGATTATCCTATTTAAATCAATGTGATAAACAAGTTAGGTCAAAAGTAATCTAAAAGTAACCAAAAAGTAGTCTGATCATGTAACCTAAAATGTGTAATGTAATGGATTACATTACTAATTACAATTTATGTCATGTATGTAATTTGGAATCAGTAACAGACTACATTTGTGAGTAATCTACCCAGCACAGCAAATACTGTATGTCTGAGCGCGATTCAGATCCCAAGGCAGAAGAAACTGAAACAAGGAAGCACAATTGCAACAGTCTGTTTCAGCATGATAATTGCTGTTGCTTGCTTATTTCTCTGTAAATAGTTTTAAATGTACTATTATTACCCGTTGTGTTACAAATGACTTGGGTACATGTACTCGGGTATATTGATTTTATTAGCAACACTCAAAGAATGAGACACGTGATGTCTTAACAGCATTAACCGCTGGTTTGATGCTTATTAAAAACACGGTGTAAGATTACAAATAAATGTGCTTACCTGCGTTACCTTGGAGGACAAAAAGCTTGGCACTGCAGAATCTTGTGAAAAACCCAGTAGCATGTTTAGAATAATTCACAAATCAGTCCGTTATGAAATGTGAAGAGCACCACATTGAACACATTCACCACAAAACCTATGCAGGTAAACACCAAAAGAGAGAGAAAAACTGAGAGATATACTTGTTTGGAAAGGGTTACAAAGCCATTTTGAAGCTTCTTGGACTCCATCAAACAGTGCAAGCCTTTCTAAATTTAAAGGACTCAGGGTAGGGGTTATTGGGAGACATCATCTGGAAAGCTTCAAAAGATATAATACGCCTAATAAACCTTTAAAGAAACTACAGGGATCTCTAGCACCAAGTTCATAATTCAATAATAATGTAACATGCAGGAGGTTAAGCAAGCAGGCAGGGATGTGGATCTATGTGCAGAAGTAACAAAGTAAACAAAAGACAAGGAACACTGGAAAACAAGGAACAGAAAACATGAGCAAAACAGCACCATTACATTCAACAAGTGACAAAGCACAAGAGAAACAAGGGCTATATATACACATGAGACCAAAAGAGACCAATGAGTAACGAAGGGAACAAACAAGGAAGGGGGTGTGGTTAATGAATTACTATAAAAACTAACAGGGGTAACCATAGAGACAAACGAGGCAGCACAGCAAACAGTGCAAATTACACACAGGAAACATGTAATATAGCCCCCACCTAGGCAGCAGAAATCAGATGCTCCAAAACAACAGTTAACAAAACAGAAAACAACAAAAAGTCCAGGAGGGTGGTGGAGCGGAGGCGGAACAGGTGAAGGGATGGTGGGCCAGGGCCATAGAGTGGAAGAGGGCCTGGAGACTGTGGTAGAGGAAGGGTGGACCAGGGTGGAGGAGGCAGAGTGGGTGACCAAGGCGAAGTAGGAGGAGCAGAAGACCACCACGGCAGTGCAGGTTGAACTGTCACATAGAGCACAGAGAGATTAGTAATGGTCTCTTTAGTTGTAACAAAATGGGCAGAGAATTCAGGGGAAACCTCCATGGTTGTTACTTGACAGGCAGAGAGTTTGTAGAAGACCTCCTTGATGGTGACAGGACAGGCAGAGAGTTCAGAGACTGCCTCCATGGCCGTGACAGGACAGACAGAGGGTTCAGAGATGGCCTCCGTGGCCGTGACAAGACAGGCAGAGGGTTCAGAGATCGTCGCCACCGCCTCAGGGGAATCTGCAGCGGTTGCCGCTGCTTTGGGAGGACCTGGAGTGGAGGCTGCTGCCTCAGGAAGAGCTGGAGAAGTGTGTAGAATTGTGTAGGGTTCAGTAGAACAACTGTGAACTGCGGTCAGATGAGATATTGTGAGGCGTATGTCAGTAAAAATGAATTTTCCTGTCCTGTCAGTCGTTAATCTGTGCTCATAACACGTGCTCTTCAATTGGATGCCCAAATGCAGTGGTGCACGCTTATCATTTCATATTGAATAACTGAATATTTGGGTTAAACTGTTCTGGATCAGTGTTGTAAATACAACTTCACCACTGATTTCTAGTCGTGTCCATTTTTGGAAAGCCAAACAAAGTAGTTTCGCTTTCACAATGAAACACAGCGTCAACCACACGTGACGACCCCGGGCTGGACTCTGCTTCGTCCACGGTGAAAGCCGATCAGGCGATC